GGATAAGAGCAATGATGAGAAGCAAATGGCATGACATTCCCTCATTCTCCTAGCAAAGACTGACCACAGTTTTTCAAAGTGTACCAGTAAACACAAAATACAAATTTGTTGAATACCAGAAATCAATGTTACTAGCTTCCTTGCCTAACTGAAAAGAGGAAGCTGAAAATTCAAGATCCCAAGGACTGTTTGTACTATAATTCTGTGTTATGCTCAAACATAATATCTGAAAAGGGATTTTTTAAAGAATCAAAAGTCTTATTTTCCTCTGTCCATTATTTAAATTAATATTCCAATTAATTTCTAATATTGGACCTATTAATTTCTAATATCCAGTGTATATAATGGGTTCAGATAAATTTCATGGTGATTATCAAGTGAAATGATGTTTCTCTTGTTGACTTGTACTTTTCAGCATTTATTACAAAGTGCACACACTACACACAAGTATTCAATTTCTTCCATTTAACTATTTAGATTATACATTAGGCATGCATATATGATTATTGCATGGGATGCAACTTCAGTATTATATCTCTCAGAAACTGGTAGGCAGCTTATGCTTCTTTCTTTTTAATGTGGCCGCTTGACTCAACTATCCATGGGAATGAGCTTATGAACTCTTGAGCAATCCTAATGTGATTTTTGGTATCATACACCCTCCAAAGATTACTTCTCTATATTCCCTTCACATTTTCCAAGTGCTTGGAACTAATACTGCTTACTGCTTCTCAGGCCTACTTAAAATAGAATGTTTTTGTCATCACATGGCCATAAGCTTTTTTTTTGACAGCTCAAAATATTTCCGTTATTAATGATTAATACTACTTCCATATCATTAGTACATGAATGTTTAACTTCATTTTACCATCCACAGCTTTCCTTCAAATCTATCCTATCACAGTTTTCCAAATTCTCATCTTTCTTGATGTCATTCACCCTTGATGCTCATATCTGGTTTAACATAAAAACTTTCAATAAAATGCCAGTTTAAAATTAGTTTGACCAAACCATCAGACATCTGAACACCATCCACCTAGGCAGTGCTTTATTTTTTTTTCCCAGCAATACTCAAATGCTCATTTTTTAAAAAAATAAAAAGTTGCTTCTAATATAACACATATTCACATTCAACTGGACACCTTTCCCTCATTTTCATTATTCCTTAACCGTATGGCATGTATAAGAAATCAGGTCAACACTAACCCCAAGGATAATTGCTAGCATAGCAGTAGAGATTTTAAAAATATAATTCCCAAGTACTCAGAGAAATGAGAAACCAGTACACTGAAACATATTTGCACACTCTGAAGATCCTGAAAATACCACAATTTTTCCTCTTTTTCTTCAAAGATGTTGCGGTCTGTGCTCATGTACTTTTTAGCCTGAAAAAATGTGCATGTATGCATGTTCTCCAGTGCCATGACACATACTTCATGGCACAAAGCACTGAGGAAAATTCCAAAAATACCAATGTATGATACAAATTGAAATAATAGTCAGAAAAGAGAGTTGTAAGGAAAACATTAACCTGATTAATATTTTCTGCTTAATAAGCATATCATTTGGAAAACTGAAAATTAAATGTGCCTTTCAAAGGGATATAAGGAAAGCATTGAGGAAAATCACAGATTGTTAATGCCAGAGTATGTTTTGAAGGACATACATGCTACATTAGCGTTGTTCTGGGCAACAGAAGAGAAAAAGACCCTAAAGTTGATTTTTCTTTTGGAAGATAACAAAAAAGGCTAAGTTTTAAGAATATAATCAGTCAAGTCCTATTATTTGTCATAAGGCCGAGTTAGGGCAGAATACACAATTAGTTGTTTTCTTTCTTTTTGTATGCATAACTGGATAATGAATAAACTAAAGCCAGATCTAGATAAAATTATTCTGGTAATTTACAAATTATTACTCCTAAAATATTGATGGTATATATCCAAGAAATAATTACAACTACAGTAATTCAGAAGAAAATAGTCACTACTAGATATAAGTGACAATATACAGGAAGAGGCTACAATAATTCATTATTAAAAATAAAATGAGAATAAAAATAACAGGTTTCATGACATTGTTTTTCAAAATTTAGTAGGATTCACTGGAATACATATTTAATTTGAGGAAAATATATTTCATATTCTACATTATAATTCTGAAATTCATATTAGTTTGTTACTGATGTCTCTGCTGTGAAATATCTGGGGAAAGAGGGACAGTTGGCACTCAATAATTGTGGGTTACACTTCTATGGATTTGATTATTCCAGAGTTTGATTAATGCGTTAACTCGAGGAATTTCTGGGTCCTCCAGTGTGACTCGATGACCAATTTTCACTGTAAAAATGTGCCAGAGGACCTAGAGATTCCTAGAGTGAACACTTCTCTAAACCAGTGATTCTCAACCTGTGGGTCCCCATGTGTTTTTGCCTACAACTCCTAGAAATCCCAGTCAGTTTACCAGTTGTTAGGATTTCTGGGAGTTGAAGGTCAAAACATTTGGGGACCCAAAGGTTGAGAACCACTGCCTAGACATCTGTAGGTCTCCCCAGTATTATTCTATTTCTGGCAGAACTTGACCAAACTGTAGTATTGGAGGACCCAAAGATTGCTAGAGAGTTAATCTCTTTGGTAAATAATTTGTGGTTTCTTTTAAAAAGCTTGCAGGGGTCCTGCCCCCTAACTCCAGCAAATGTGGTTGGTTGACTCTACTTGGCAGACTTCAGTAATCAGCAAAATTTCATCAATACAGGAATAAAATCACATAATACCACAAGAGACTGTGCTTTGTTTATTCATTCCCTTTGCACAGTATGGAATGCAAATACTTTCTCTGTAATTGTAACATTAAAAAATGAAGCAAATACAAGAACATAGTAATTGCCTTGCTACTTCAAAAGAAATGTTATTTTGTTTAAATGCTTGTTCAAAGGACTTTTTACTCCTGGGGACAGAGGTGATCACAGGCCTTGGGGCTGCACACTCCCTCTGCTACAAGAAGAAAAGTACAGGAGCTGGTACCAAAGGTTTGTTAAATATAAGCTCTCCTCAGTTATGTGATTTCCAACTGCATCTCTCCAGCATAATTTAGTAAATATTGGACTATTGCCCCCCAAATATGAAAGCTTGAAGAAACAACACAAAGCACAAAATGTTATTTGTTGTGGGGAAGATATATCGGTCTATTAAACTTTGTTTTCCTAGCAAAAGCAACTGTAATATTTTGATAACTTTTCAGTAAACGATAACATCTGTACTTTCTTCTTTCTGGTCAAAAGGGCAGTTCAAGATTTTATGCAGATTCAAGGTGTTTTGTGTACAGTTCAACAGACACACTACAGAACTGCTTCAATGTCACGGAATATTCTGAAACACACAGCCTGCAAGTGGAACCAGAGAATCCAGTGTTTCATATAGAACCAACTCTGAGAATAAGGACACTGCCACAAACCTTTCAAAAAGTTATATTGTTTGAAACAAGCACATGTTTTAGGTGTTTGTTTAAATGACCTAATAAAAGAGTTTGTTTTAAAAGGGATAAGAAAAAAGAGGCAACTGAGGCAAAGTCAGCACTTTATAGCCACAGATTCTGCAACTAGGGATTTAAATATCTCCCTAAAATATTGCCCCTTAAAAGAAATTCCAGAATGCAAGCCTTGATTTTGTAATTTGATATAAGGGACACCATTATACTAGGTCATTTTATATAATGAGGTTTGAGCATCCAAGGGTTTTGGTATCCACCAAATACTGTAGATAATTCCAATATGTCTCCACAGCCAATTGAAGGAGTGAAAAGACAGCTCATGTGAAGAAATTGGAGCATAAGAAGAGCCATATTAGAGAAGACCATGACATATCTAGTCCAGTATTCTGTTCACACAATGGAGAAACCAGTTACCAATGGAAAACCCACAAGCAGCACATGACAGATAACTGCTCATTCTGGTAAGATAGAAGAGAATTCAACGTTGGGAGTTTCATAGTCCATTGCTGTGGCTATCAAATTACATTTTCAGGTGCATTTTCCCCAGTTTTTTAAAAAGGAGGGCTTTGGCAACTCACCAATCCCTTTGCAATTCACATTAGAAAGATTAAAGAGATCCTTTTTACATGTAAACTCTAGGTGAAGGAATGCTAGCATTGCCAGTTCTGCATATTTCTTATTAACAAGCTCTTCATTGCTAAAAGCAAATATGATTTTGCTGACCATTAAAAGGGTTTTCCTGTCACTGGCACTGCATGCACACAGCTAATCTATGCGCTATTCAGTTTTCTTATGTATTGTGCGCTGAGAAAGACTACATTATAACAGACAATGAAGGGAAATTGTTCAATGAGAAAATGTATTAAAATATTTGATTAAGATGAAACTAACTACAAAGAGTTTGCATGAGTAAATGGGGCAAACAAAGGATTCCATAATTATAAGAGATTCAGATTAAATATTCTCTTCTATCAGAACACAGTAGAATAATTGTTTCATGCTTTAACTAAAGTATTCAACTACCAGAAATTGAAAACCAAAGGTGTATAACTGCACTATAGGCCTACAGAAAAGTACAGAAATGTTTAGACTGTGATCTTGGAAGTTCCAATAGGCTACAATGGAATGCTATCATCAAACCAAACTACCAGTTCTTAAATTCTGATTTGGCAAAAAAAGATGAAAAAAACATTTGCACTGTGAGAGTTTCCTTAAGGTAAATTCTCAGTTTTAACTCCTTACCTATATCCATTCCATTCTCATTATTTGATGGCTTTCCATGTTACATGAACACCTTTCCTTTCCAGTAGGCATTCAACCTGCCAATCTGTTAAAATGTGTACATTTTCTTGGCATGTTAGCCTGAACATCTTTTGTATGCTTCTTTGTTTCTGCCTCCCACTCACTGGCTTGATCTTACTGTTTGCATGTATTTCTTATATGCTTCCTTGAACATTTTTAATCAATAAAAGCTGGGTCAAATATTTTAATTAACAAACTCGCCATGCTCTTACCTCCATCTGCTTTTTCAGTTCCCTTCCAGAAGAGCTGTCCTGAAGAGCAGGGTCCCGTTGTGATGCATCTGCAAGGACATTAACTGTAGCTTCTGCTTCTTGCAACCACTTGAAAAAACTTTCAAGGTCTTTGAGCAAGGCCTGCACTGTCTTCAGATCAGCCTCCAAAGCATTCTGCCTATTAAATGTTCTGCAGGGGCAAATAACAACAACAGCAATATCAGGGGAAAAATAAAAAGGTATCAATTAGCTAAAGTGATACAGTTGTTTCTACAGTTGTTTTGAAGTGCAGTGCTGAAGGAGAGGTCTAAGAACACAATATACCCACCAAAAAGATAAATGGGTTCAAGAGCAAATCAAGCCTAAATGCATGCTAGAAGTCAACATGATTGAACTGGGTATACTCTACTTTGGAAATATCATAGATAATGTGACTTACTGGAAATGCTCAGTTGGATGAAAAGCAAGAAGAAAAAAGAAAGATCACATTATGTATGGGTAGATTTGAGAATGTACAATCTTGAGTCTGCCAGATCTAAACAGGGTTCCTGATGAAGGTCTCTGATTCCCAAAGTGTCCATAAACCAAAGTCAATTTGATGGTAAAAAACCATCAGCAGCATGGTTGGCTCCTCAAATATTTTAATATAGTATTTTAATGTAGTGCCACAGGTTCTACAAATTATATCTGTACTGCTTACGACAGATAATATTAAGAGTTATTAAATATAATCAATAAAGCCAAATAAATGACAAACAAAATTTTGGTTTGGGGTGTGTGTGTCAGGAGCGACTTAAGAAACTGCAAATCACTTCTGGTGTGTGAGAATTGGCAGTCTACAAGGACGTTGCCCAGGGGACGCCCTGATGTTTTGATGTTTTATCATCCTTGTGGGAGGCTTCTCTCACATCCCCGCCTGGGGAGCTGAAGCTGACATCCGTGCTCTCCCCAGATCCAAACCTCCAACCTGTCGGTCTTCAGTCCTGCCAACACAAGGATTTAACCCATTGTGCCACAGAGGGATTCTACAAACAAGTTGTAAAATGACAAGTGTGACAAACTAACAGCACAATTTTGGGAGACTCTCCAGGAAGTAAACAACCAGCTTTTCACAATGAATAAAAACCTCTCCCTAATGTCGTCCATACTGGACAAATTGCAATGCTGTAAAAATACTTACTGGGGGGTTCTAACCATTCTTAAAGGATGAGTGGTGGCTTCTGTATCCCACTCACCTCTTAAGAGAATAGCTTGCCTTAAATAATTTCAATTCTTTTCACCTTGACTGACTTTCATGTTCCCACAAACATTTTTATGCAACATGGCCAACTCAGGAAATTTAATCCTTGCATAAAATATTTTGGCATGCAAAAGGAACACGAAGTCTGTGGGTTGTATCCAATAAAGGACTTCTGCTGATGGAATAGTAAACTGCAAAAGAAATGGGATGTTCATTCTCCCAACCGATTGTCACACTTCACCACCACTATGAAAAAATATGCCTCTGGGAGGCTAGGAAAACATCTGAGGCCAGTTTTCAGGTAACTCTTATATAAGGACACAGGAAGGAGGTGAGAAAAGTCTCAAAGCATTAAAGAATCCGACCTTTATTTTTCCTTCACCAAGAATCTATACAGTGCATTGGGCCTTAAGTAGTCAATGGAGTTTTGTTCTAGGACCTTCATGGATACCAACATCTGTAACTGCTCAAGTCCCATTGTATATTGGGAGAAAGGCGGAATAAAAATAAAGTTGTTGTTCATTCATTCAGTTGTTTCTGAATCTATGAATGCTGAATCCATGCACACAGACGGCTGACTTTAAATGGCAAATTGTAGAACTATGGAATTATAAACATAATTTCTATGTTATATACTCCAAATATTACATCCTCAAATAATCATATATTTTAACTTGGCTGTAAGAGATATTTTAATGTGGATGAAGGAGCAAATAGTTGCATTTGCAGATGAATTTCTGAGATACACAAAAATGCTGAATATATCACATTTCTGTTATCTGTTCAAAATGGTTAAAAAGTTGCCATTTGGCTTATTTTCAGTGGATTAATGCATAGTGCTTGGCGCACTTAGAAGCAATCATTAAGGTTCTTTCTATCTATAATGCCAGGTCATTTGCTCTGTCAAGACAGCTCAAAATTTTCTGAGGTGTACTAAAAAGGATTTCAATCGGCAGTACACACACACACAAGTAAGTGTGATGTAGTGATGTTCCTTCAAAATTGTCTTCAAATGTTATTTTCACAATTGAACTAAGCTTGATTTCACATTTAATGCCATCCCATATCTTAACTACTGTCTTGTGGAAAGATACTTTCTCATGAATATTTCTGCATAACTGTACTGGGACTGGGTTCTTGTAGGTTTTTTGGGCTATATATGGCCATGTTCTAGAGGCATTCTCTTGGAGAATTAGGAGAGAGTGCCTCTAGAACATTGCTATATAGCCTAAAAAAATCTACAACAACCCAGTGATTCCGGCCATGAAAGCCTTCGACAATAGATTGTACTGAGACTCATAGCTATTTTTTTTAACCCTGTGTTTTCTGTGGGTCACTAGGTTATCTCACACAAGAATGTTTGCACTACTTACAGTGTGGCTAGTCCAACCAAAAAGCACGCAAGGATACGATCAGATGTTCAAATAAAAACAGGTTAAGAGTATCTATGGTAATTTGTATATATTGTAGAAAGGCAGAAATGCCATAGAGACAGAATCTATTTCCACATTATAAGAAAGACTGATACATCTATTGGCTACTCAATCCACTACCTTGTAACACAATGCTCAGCAAAAGTATACTGCAGATATACATTTTGCAAATTTCATGCCACATGAGATCTCAGGAATGTAAATACTCCATTTTCAACAGGACCAAAAATCATTTAGATATACAAGTAATAAATTAAATTTGAAGAACTATATATTACAGTATCTTAATATCGATTATCGTATTTTGTAAGGTGCAGAGGCAAATCCAGGATAGCAACCACCTTAACAAAAACACTGGTTAAAAGCTAGAAGGAAAGGTCTTGAACATTTTAGTTTTTTATCCCCTATAAATACAAAAATACCAAAAGAGCCTCAGAAATCAAAGTGTGCTGCTAACAGTTACCATTATTTGTTTAACACTCACACAGAGAGACCAATTAAAATTGACCAAAGCTTCACTTGAGTAATCTCCCTACTAAATCAAGTAAAAGTGACAGCTTGGTCTTCACATTTCTGTGCTCCATTAACCACATTATCTAAGCACTGTTAAATGAGACTATTTCCTATATCAAATGTAGAGACAAATGTTTATCAAGTACACTACCAAAATAATGTTAACTATTCACAACCAGGAGCTAGCACAAATACTGTATATACTCTCGTATAAGTTGATTTCATGTATACATCAGGTTTCAGGGTCAAAAGTATGGGCTGTGATAGGATGCATGGATAAATCAAGAGTCAAACTATTAAGAGGTGGAAGCACCAATGCTGCCTCAGGGGACCAGCATCCTTGGCCACTGTCAAATTCCACCCAAGCATTCAACAAGGTCAGAATCAGCATCATAGCATAGGAAGCAGGAGGGGGGTGGGGGTCGGTGCTTGTTTTTGATTCTTCTGGGCTAGACGAATCTTTCACTACTCTACTCAAAGAAGGGGAAGGTTCCTTTTTTATAAGAGACTAGCTTGGGTACCCAGAGGTGCCCAGGTTATTTGAAAAAGCCATTGTTTGTTTTGGGGTGTTTCAAAGGAGGTCACAGTGCTCTGCCTTGATGCAGGGTGTACTACAACTTCCATCTTGTTGAGTCAGTCCCCCAAACCCTTCAGTCTGTTTAGTTGCTGATCAATTCCTCTGTGTTTGCTGTGTGCCATAGGAATGGGTAGGAAAGGGTTAAGGGAGAGGCAGTGGGCGGGATCATGCACATTCCACACAAGGAACGCTGGGATGCCTGCCTGTGGTAAAGGAAACACATTTAATCTGGGATGAAATTCTCCCTGAATGAAAGCATTCCTTGGGTGGCGGGCCATAGTGTTTGGGTACGACATTGGCAGCATTTGGGCTACATGTTCATGGTGCTCGCTATAACCTGCAGTGTCAGTTATGGAATTGCCTTTGGAGGCCTCTTGGCACTTGGAACTATAGACTGTTTGTAGAAGCAGAAGACTGTCTGTGTAAGTGGACTCCTCTACCACATACACATTTTTCACTTTTATTATGTGTAGAGAAGATACAACATGTCAACGTTTGTTCAATACTCTGGTAATCTTGGATAGTAAATTGAGGCCTAGCCGAGACCTAGCTTGGAGTTAGGAGGATTAATTGGAGTTTGTAGAGTTTGGAGCGAGCTGTGGCTTGCTGCAAATAGCCTTTCTGTATCACAACTAAATTTATAAAGCCTTCCTGAGTTTGGAATGAACAATTTGTGATGTTGTGTATTCCAGCAGATATTTTCCTGCCACAACTACACAGGGGAGCTTGGATCTTATTACTCGCTGCAAGGGAAGCTTCCAGGACTCTGTTAAGGTAACAGAAATCCCTGAAACAGTCAATCTGGAATTTTGGGGTTGGTTTTTTGACCAATATTTCTGGACATAAACACAAGCATATAGGAAATATTTTTATATCAAGTATCTGAAGAAGGGGTGAGCAACCATAAAAATTAGCCAAATTCTGACCTTACATCCTCCCAGCAAACTGCAAGAATATTTCTTATTCAATCCAGAAGTTGGGTGATTTTTCTCTCTTTCTTGTGTTGTGACTGCAAATTACTCATTTAAAGAGAAGCTTATAGGACAAAAGTGAGAGACAACTCTGCTCAAGCTATTGTGATTTTATGGTGTTTTTCAGCCAATTTGGGTCTAATTTTTGATGATGTTTTAACATTTTTAGGATGAACTTTGAACTTTTCTTGGGGAAATTCAAAATAGGGCTTACTTGCATGAGGCCATAGGTTCCTGAGAAATAAAAGCCAACTTTCGTGAGATGAAAGTTGTAATGATGCAGGCCTTTTCTTTCAGTAGTTGCAAAACTAACAGACTGGATTCAGAAGTCAACAACTGATACACAACCTCATAAATATACTGAGAAAGCGTTTTGCATCCTGGTTTCAACATACACAGCATGTCTTCAGTACTGAACTGTATCTGTTACAACTACAACAAAGCTTGTTAATAATCTTTCTTAATTGTAATTGTTACTTTAACAACATTTAACGCTTGTCTAAAGGCATGCTGCCTGGGGATGAGGAAATTCCCTTTTCACTATTGCAACACAGTTTAATGAGATTTTCATTGATTTCAATATCACTCATTGATTCATTTCTTCATTTCATATTATTTCTTTCTCCCATTCTGGGACCCAAGCTGTCTTATACCATAGGTTTAAACAAAATACCATTAGAATAATAAGTAGCCCAACTTTTTTTTTAAAAAAAAGGTAAATAAAAAATTCAATTAAAACACAAATTAAAACAGTTTGAATAATGTAAAATATAATTTGAAGATAAAGCAATCCCATTGAAAGATTCTTCTGCAGTAGCCACTTGACAGCCGAATACCTATTTCAATAGAAGAGTCTTTTCCTGCCACTGCGAAAAGAGCAGAAAAGGAGTCAATCTAGTTTCTTCTGGGACATCTACCAGAAAGCCTTTCTCCTGTGCTCTTCATGAAACATACCTGGGATGATCATGGATTTAAGAGAAAGCTCTTATCTGAAGATCATAATAGAGTCATATATAAAATTGAATTGGGCCTGGAAACTCAACTAAAGCTTTGCAACATGGGATTTAGATGTCTCCTATAACCAGGGCCGTAGCCAGAAAAAAATTTCGGGAGGGGTTGAAATTTTCGGGGGGGGGGGTTGAAAATTGGGGGGGGGGGGTTGAAACCTGCCTCCTAGCTCACGCTGAAGCAAAGAGCACAGCAGGGGGCAGGGCAGCCTTCAATAGCCTGCAGCTCCGCCCCTGTCAACCACCTCCACCAAGTCTGGCCTCCTTAATGAGAGCATTCAACACCCCCCCCCCCAACTTGGTTGCTTCACTACATCGGCTATTGCTGCAAGTAATGACAGTGTGAATAAATTGTCAATATTTGCTTGAGATAGTGCTTGCAGTTCTGGAGGGACTCTTATTTTTTGCATCTCATAGACTTAGCATGGGGATTTGGTTAACCAGTTAAAATTCATGAGTAAACCAGGTTTTTTAAAAAAAAATCTGAAACATTTCGGGGGTGGGGGCCTAACCCCCCCCCCCCCCCTCACTACAGGCCTACCTATAACCAATTCTAGTCAGCAGTATAGTTTCAGCATTTTGGACTAGTTAAGGTTTTTGGTTTCCAAAGTGCTCTCCTAGATACATCCAAATGAGATATAAGCAGACTACAGGTTACTCTATCCAGATCTGACACCTCCAGGAATGGGCACACTAATTAATTGTGCAAATGGTATAATCAAAACTTGAACATCTAGATTAAGAGTTTGATCCAGGAGCACACCCAAGCTACAGACATGCATCTCTAGGGGAAACGCAATCCCCTCTAGGGCAAACTGAACCTCCATTCCAGATATAACTTTCAACAGTTCTATCTATGAGACCAGAGACAAGGAATGTCAACACTTAAATTGAGAGTACAGTGATAGACATGAATTACCATGATCTTAACTCTGAAGCACAAGCAATTATTGTCCACTGTGTAGCAAACCCCAGATTTGAAAGGGCAATCACATTTAATGCCAGTAGTTTTAAAACACTACAACAAGCAGACACAGTTTAAATTGTTTGATTTAAAAACGCTTCAGTTAAAAGCTGCTTCAGCTTTCATTATTTTCAAGTCCTTTATATATCTTTTCTTAGGAAATAAGAAGATGCCCAAAAAAGTATAGCCTTACTACAAAGTAAAACTTCAATCCCTGAGTATACTAAAGCTAGCAAATATTAGAAGAATTAAGGAGGGCGAACTCTTGCAGTACAGGATTTATGGGCATTTTCTTTCCACACATTGCTTGAATCATTATATTGTGTGGCATTTCCTAGCGGAGAGAACCTTTGCCCAAGAATCAACAGTATTGTAGCAAGAAAGAAAAATAGTATTATGAAGATTATAACAATGATATGCATCCATGAGCAAAGACTACTTTCTGTACATTGAACTTGCCTTGTGAGCTCAGAATTATTGTATAAAGGTACTATCCTCAAATGACAGTTTTTATTCAAGTGTAATTTGCATTTTCAGTGTTTGTTTTTTTTTCAAAACTCTTGCTCTCTTTTGTCTGCTTGGCTTCCTTTAACATAAATTTAAAGGCATTGAAATCAATTACTGAATCCCCAGTACAAATTACTTCATGCTGAATCACCTCAAACATGTTGGCCAGATTTTTAACCTTCAGGCCAAAAGAAATTAGTCATATCCTACTATAGCATTATCTCTTACATAATTTTTTTAAATGCTACAAGTATAACTATTTGCAAGAAACAATTATGAAACTAAGAATGAGTACAATCACAGTACAATTCCAATATATACAGTTTCACTTGTTCATGATTTTCTTTATTCAATCATTCGGTTAGGACCACCTGTACAAGGTAAACCTCTTCTCAGTACTTACATCATTCATCCCATTGAAAAAAATAGAGTTTACTATTAGCTGCAGCATCATATATCTATGTAAAGTCTGGAAAACTATCCCCCGTGTATACAACACGTATATTCTATTCTCTGAAGTTGTCAAGTTTGATTGATGATTTGAAATATACACATTTCATGCCAAGAACAGTTTGCAATTCACACAGACATTCCAAGATCATGATCCACACTGAAACAGGGTTAATAAACAGAACTCTCAAAGCGAAAAAGAATGAAGGAAATTCCAAATGAGAAAACTCTCCTGTCTTAACATAGTGAAAGTGACAGCATTGGTGGAACATGCAGACTCATGAAAAAGCAGACATGAAAACAAACCATCCACACATCCCTAGAGGATATCCTTTTCAATGTAAAGTAAAATGATTCAAGGCAATAAGAGAGCAATAGCTGGAGGCAGAACGCTTAGTACTTCACAAAAAACCAAAAACACAAACCGAAAACGCAAACAATAAACAGTAGCATCATAGTTACATAAAATAAATGAATACATAACAATATACAAATTACAATATGCACAAACACAGTACAATAGGCGGAATACATGTAGTGATTAAAAGACAAAGTAATTAAAACTAATTAAAAACTCGGGCGAGATAAAGGAGAGAAGCAGTTAATTTACGGAGGAGGGCTCATTTTAGTGGGAGTTGTGGAATCATGCTTTCCCATGAAGGGGAGGGAATGTATACTCCAATGACAAAGCTTTGAGGTCAAGCACTCATGTGGGGTTATATACCTACTCATCAAAGGCGCAAAGTAGGCTATCATATAACTGCTGTTTAGTAACCATAGATCAAAATCAATAGAGTCATCCTTTCAAACAGGCCCCTCTTCACCTTGGATCAGAAGTTTCAAAGTGTTCACCTTGGCCTTCTCTTATTTCAAGGAAATAATCTTCACTGGAGAAGTGAGGAAGGAAGTAGTCTACTAGTCACTACAGAACATGCATTTCTACTGGGGATGGAATCTGTAAAAATATACATAAGAATGCTCCTTTTGCCCATTACATATGGGAAAGTTTCAAACCTGCTATTAACTTGGGTGTAACTGACATGGTGATAAGAAAGCACTTTGCATAAAGATCCCTAGCTGATCTTATATTTTGAACATGTGGAATTTAAAGTACCAAGAATACATATAAAAAGAAACAAATCCAAAATCTGTTGACACATACCTTTGTTTTAGATTAATCCATGAGGTATTCAAATGATCCATGATTTCCTTTACTTTTCTTGTATCATCACTATTATATTCTTGAATAAGTTTATTGGAAAGATCATTAAATGGGTTCATCTTGGCATCGCCCTTTTCTAGATCTTGTATCAACATCTAAAAGGCAAAAATGTCATAATCAATCTTTGCTAGCAAAAGAAAATAACAGTTCTGGAAACTCCAGAATAAAAAGAAAATTCAAAGTGTTCTTCCACTCCCTGGCTATCCTTTTTGATTAAATCATGCAACTTCATATATTTCAGTAAACTACCTGAAGTGAAAAACTAGGAAAACAAAAATATTATTTGCTCATAGTGACATCAATTATTTATTTAATGAACAATGTGAACCATAAAGAGTATCACCCAGATCCTCCAGTTTAGAGAAACCCATCTATAACCTAATCTTCCTGAGCAGTAGAAGGTAGGAACATAATTTGATCTACATCCACTTCTAAATGACATTCAGGTCAAGATGGTGTCACACACAAATTCTCTCTCTCTCTCTCTCTCTCTCTCACTCACTCACTCACTCACACAGAGACACATCAGAACAGTTTTCTTGGTAATACACTTGTGGGTATGTGGTGAATGGTCTGAAGAGAAAATTACAACTGTGGAGGCATCTAACTTATAATGAATTGCAGTACTCTGCCAACAAATATGTGGTATAATATACAGATCAGGGGGAGAACTACGAAGTCTAAGGATGACCAGGAAGAAAACTGAACAGAAGATTCAAAAAGAAATATGTTATAATAAGGTAATGGAAGGAACAGAAAGAAAACTCAGAACAAAGCCAAGGAGCTACAACCACCCTACACATTTTGATCATGCCATAAGACACGTTTCAGTTCATTTCATGGGTAATTCACAGTAAAGTGTTTCAAGTGCTCAAAAACAAGAGCGCTCAAAAGAGTTGCAAGATAAACTTGCATTTCAAGACAGGGCAGCCATAATTAACCATTGCTGACATGAACAGAAGCAGTGTGTCCAGTTTGTGGTTGCTCTTCCTCATCTTTGTATTTCCCCTACTCTGCACCAGGGAGTCTTTCTCACTTGGGAAACCTCTTGTTATATTTGGGATAAAATGCTGGAGGAGAATACTGTGCCCTGTAGCAATGCCTCATCCTGCTTGCCAGGCAGAATCTACTTTAAATCTGAAGAAGCAGAAATGAGCACTCATCCCTTTCTAATTAACATCCTCCAACTCTGCCAACTAAAGAAAGAAGCTACAACACAAGCAAATTGCTCTCTCATCACCAAAAATAGAGTGGAATTCAACATCCAAATAATTTTAAAGAGTATCTGCCAGTGTCACTAAAACTGCGTATTTGGTTTCTAGCATCAAATGTGGGCTTAATGAAAAAGCTGCTGCCCAAAGGGCATACAAATGTAAGCAGAAACTAAAAAGACAAAGAGTTTCATTTTATAAAATAGTGAGGGCATTTAGAGTAATCAGTCATTTAAATATCTCTAGGGCATTTTTGCAAACCAGAACTACTAACCATTTTCAGAAACCTCACAACCTCTGAGGATGCCTGCCATAGATGCAGGCAGAATGTCAGGAGAGAATGCTTCTAGAACATGGCTATATAACCTGAAAAACCTACAACAACCCAGTAATTCCAGCCATGAAAGCCTTCAACAATACATGTTCAGATATCTACCATCTATCCTTAAAAAAGTAAAGAACTTTATTTTTCAATATATAAGCATTAGAACTGGGCAACCACGGAAAAATTTGTTTCTAAAATCGATTCGTTTTTTGGGGTTTTTTGCGTTTCGATTTTTAAAAGAATTCCGAAATTTTTCTTTTAAAAAGTTCGATATTTACGAAATTTCGTAAATTACAAAACAATATGAAACAATTACGAAACAATTACGAATCGATTCGTTAATGGCGGACGCGATCGCGCAATACGCTAAAAAACCTCCAAATGGGACAGGGGGAACTTCTGAAGCTTCCCTCTCCCTCTGTTGTTGACTGTTGGTGTGATATTTATATTTTTTTTCACTGATTATACAAACAACAACTATAAAACTTGCCCCAGACATGCGGAAATAATAACGAAACGATTTCAAAATGATAACGAAACGAATACAAAACGAATTTGAACCAATTACGAAACGAATTTAAAAATTCGTTTCGTTTTTTAATTGCTCCTGAATGGTTCGTTATTGCTTCGTTATCAAAAAAAACAAATTTTTAACAAATTACGAAATTACGAAACGAAACCGCCCAGCCCTAATAAGCATACTCAACAAATACAAAGGAGATATATATTGTATATGTATATTTTATAGATCAACTGTGTCATGATTTTTGTGGATTTACATGCTCATAAATAATGTGTCTAACAAGAAGGATGTTTACATTATTTGTCTTCCATATTAAGGAAATACATAATGCAGGTGAATAATTATGCCTGGTCATTTATAATAAGAGAATAAATGATATATGGCACCCACAATCATGACATGTTTACTCTTTATCCTCCTGGGATCATTCCTGACATTTATGAGTTGTATATTTCTTACAAGTGTTTAGCATCATATTATTCACTATGAAAATATACTGATGCCAAAAGATGCATAAAACAAACATAACTCTGCAGTTTGTTGTTCTATGATTTCATCATTTCTGGCTTATGGCAATCCAAAAGCAAACATCACAGGGTTTTCTTCAAGGGATTTATTCAGGGAAAGGCTTGTCACTGCCTTCCTTTGAACCTGAAAATATGATTTGTCCAAGGTCATCCAGTAAGTTTCCATGACTAAGCATAGATTTGTACCCTAATCTCCCAGAATCATAGTCTAACACACAGACCACAACATCCTTCATAACTCTGCAATTATGAGGCAAAGAAATGCAAGCCAGTAGGAGTAAAATAGTAATACTATCCAACACCTGGATTCTAAATCCTAGAACTACACACATCAAGACTGAGAACAGCAGATGTATTAACAAACAGATTTATCCATATCATTCATCATTGATATTTTTACCTTCTACATCCAAACCCATGATTTGAAACTTGATTTATACATAGAGCTAAACGAATTGAATAGAATAAAAATAACAAGGTGACTCAAGAGGAAAAGCTAATTCCTCATCAGTTCCACACTGAAGTGGTCACATTTCCTTGGATTCATTCAGGGAGAAACAAAAACATAAAAACAGAGGTAGAATTAGGATGCACCCATGTCCATGAACACAGAGATCACTGGCAAGCATTTGCAGATGAGGCTTTTAATAGCTTTAATTTTATAGTTCACATTGTATTCCAAAAAACACAAATATAAGTCTCGAAAAATAAGAAAATGTAAACATCTGGTGAGTAAAGGAAAGAGAAGTAATTGATAAAAATATGGGAAAGTAATGGTGTGATCCATGAAAAGTGCACAATTCTCTCTTGATTTTGAAAATCAGAATTTTCCCTAGATTCTGGAAATATTGTTCACAAGATTCCATTACATGACATTTTATTCCTTCCTTTTGTGGAACCTCAAGGATTTTTGGAAGTGTTCAAAGGTGGGAAGAGATTAAATTAATGTGCCACTCCTGTAGGTGTCCATAAAAGGCTGGTGATTTTTCACTCAAAATCATGGGGAGGTGTTCTTGGGGTGACAAGGTTTGTGGGGTGGGGTGGGAGTAAATAAAAGAGATTTAAGCTCTTATACAACTCAAGTTTCGATAAGGATTACTGTGTACTAATACAGACTTCATTTAAAGTATCTGTGATAAACTACAGCCAAGCAATATTTAAACATTATGTTCTAAGACTTATTTCACTCCCCGTCTTGAAAAGGAGACACCAGAAACAATTGCTGATAATTTCTCTGAGGTTTTTTTTCTCCAGTCTTAATTCCAGTTTCACAGAATCCAGTGATGATAACCATGCCAGTCTTTCTTGCAGCGTACAGAAATATTAAAAGTGTATGGGTAGTTCTGCTTTATGTGATTGCTTGATACTGATGTAGAATCCTACCTCTATTATGATAATTGAATGAAATGTTCTCCAGAACACACTATGCTCCTGACAGACATTCACTTCTTGATGTTAAATTTCAGTACATGATAATAAAACACATTTATTACCAAAACCTACATTTGGCTTTATTAGTTCACTACCTCAAAAGCCTTTCATAAGATTTCAAAGAATTATAGTCAGTGTTTGAAAAGCTTATTGCAAATACAGCCCATAATTTGTAACTTAAATTTGCTAGTAAAGGGAATAAAATTGCATTTACTGAAAGATACTTGTTACTGAAGTTACCCTTTTGAGAGCAGTTACATTTTGAATCAGAAAATGAAGGCTAAGAAATCTATTCAGATGTCCTTTCTCATTGCATTTTTTTTTTTAGAATACACACAGGAAAATATACACATTGAACACGTTGTCCGACTTTTAAAACATCCACTCATAGAAAAACAGGACAGCAGAGAAAAAAGTTTTATGTTTTTAACTGCCGTCAAGCTGACTATCTATAACTGATGGAGACCCTACAAACAAGAGACCTCCAAGTCACTCTGTTATCAAGAGGTCTGCTCAGGTCTTGCAAACTGAGAGACATTTCTTCCTTAATTGAGTATTTCCCCCTCTAATGTGTGTTTTCCCTTTTCCTACTACCTCCTTCCTTGCCAAGAAGCATTTAATTTTCTAGTGAATTACATATTCTCATTGAGTGTCCAGAGTTCAACTTTTTTTTTTTGGTCGTGTCAGGAGTGACTCCTGGTGTGAGAGAATTGGCCATCTGCAAGGACGTTGCCCAGGGGACACCCGGATGATTTCAACTGTAAGCCTGACTTTGTACATTCTTCTTTGCTTTTCTTCAGTACTTGTTTCAAGTCTTTGCTATGTTCTGCTAGTAATAGGGTGCCATCTGCACATTTATAACTAGAGGATGTTTCTTCTAGTTTTCAGACCTCCTTCCTCTGAGTCTACACTAGTTTTATGAATGATATGTTCAGAGTAAACGTTAAACAGATAGGGTGATAAAAAGCAACCTTGCCTTTTGACAAATGAAAATCATTTCGTTTGTCCATATTCTATCCTGAAAGTGGCCTCATTTTCAGAGTACAACTTTAAAAAAAATCTGTGGCACACATGCAAACATATTTCCATCTTCCACTTCCAATTATGTAGTCTACTCAATTTCTATATTGGCTATCACCTAGTATCTATACATACTAGGCTTGGGTAACAACGGAAAAATTTGTTTCTAAACTCGTTTCGTTTTAGGGGTCCATTGAGTTTCGTTTTTTAAAGAATTCCGAAATTTTCCTTTTAAAATTTTTGATTGCGCAATATGCTAAAAAAACCTCCAAATGGGACAGGGGGAACTTCTGAAGCTTCCCTCTCCCTCTGTTGTTGACTGTTGGTGTGATAAAACAAACAACAACTATAAAACTTGCACCAGACATGCGAAAATAATTACGAAATAATTTCAAAATAATTACGAAACAATTACGAAATAAATTGAAAAAATTGTTTCGAATCTAATTTACTCCTCACACTATTCCTACATGGCTCAATATTGGATCGTAAGCTAATTTAAATACGAATTAATAACAAATTACAAAATTAACGAACGAAACCGCCCAAGCCTAATACATACATCCATTTCTCTGGTTGCCTGAAAAATGTGTTTATGAGTATCAAAAGTGTTGGCTTCACAACATTCAATAAATAGCTTGCTTACTCCCTAGGTCATTTTTTTCCTGCAGTTTGTTTTGTTCTTTGATTTCTAGTTTTACATTCTGATCACCTCTGATTATCAACACATTCTGTTTTGGTATGTGATCATTTCCCATTTTTTTCTATTTCTCCCTCCCCAGTTGGAGCATAAACTTGAATTATATACCAATGCTATCAATGTACCAATGGATTTCCTCTGAAGTCTAATTTAGATTACCCAGTCAGATTTTGCATTGGATTCCCTGATAGCTTTGATACATATATCCTCACTATTAATGCCATCTGATCTCTTCTTAAACTTCAATTTCCTGAGTAAATTATCTGCAAAGGCACTATAAGAGCTATATCATATCCTATTTCAAAAAGTGATCAAGCTGAGACACAACCAAGATGTTGGACTGGACTCATCAATCCTGAGATGCAAATAATAAAGTCCATTTGAACTCACTTTGTTTTCAGAAATTTGCTTAGTGAGCTTCTCTTTAGGTGTCTGTAAAAGAGCATGAAGGTGTATCTCATATTGCCCAATTAGCCTCTCCATTTCTTGCTTCAGGTCATCCCACTTGATGCAGTCAGAAAGCATGTGTCTTAACTGCTGTTGACGTACTTCCACCCCATGCTGAGTACTATCCCATTGGTTCTTCAATTTCTCCACTGAAAAATATAAAATAGAAACATATAACCAAAGTAGAAATATAAAACCACATGAAAATGTATTTTAAGTATTTGTCATCATCAATCAGTCACCTAAAGTAAGTGCTCGGAAAATGCAAAGCCAACCTTGAGTCCTGAATATGCATGAATAGCTCATATACACCTTACCACTAAAACAACAGTGTTCTCTTTTATGCTCTCTCTCTCTCAAACTCTTAAACACACTATAACTGTAGACAGGTGTTCAACTTTGATACTGAGAGTTCCTCCTCCACAATCCCAAGTTGGTTCCAGTCTGTGAATAGGCAATGGAATTTTCACAGGTCAGCACAGCTCCTTGTGTTGCATGCTTCTTTTCCACTTGGATTTTATGGAACTTCAGATGGCAACTGTAATCTTTAACTGTGGCATACTTTTCCAGATGTATTTTTAGTGATCAGTAATGTGTACCTAAGTCTTCACATCTGTGGCTGATATGGGTGAGGGAGCATTTTGATGGCATCCCTGGATAGACACCAGGGTTAAACTGCCTGATGTGTGTGCCTGCCAAGATAAGTCACATAGAGAGAGTGAAACCAGTGGTTTTATAATCCTCCTCTGGTCCTTTTTCTACTATTTTCAATCCATCCTGCCACTCTCTGCTCATTTTGAGTTTCATCTGGTTGCTTATTGTTACCAAAATTAGATTAAAACAAAGGAGTTCCGAAACAATTAAATAGTTTTGAATTCAATATCCAAAGTCCATTCTGTCCATCTTTAGTAAGATGAACTCTATCAAGTAAATCCATATTTCTTATAGATATTGGGAATCTAAAAAAATCAATAAATATGACATATAAATATGACTTGGGTTGTATGATTTTAATTAATATTTAAATGTTTGATTTTTAATTCTTTTGGATTTTAATGCATTTTTTTATTTATCAATAAGTATATGTACATGTGGCATCGAATTGTTGCCTTTGTAAGGCTGCTCTGTGTCCCCTTCAGGGTGAGAAGGGCAAGGTACAAGTCTGGTAAATGAATAAATTAAAAAAAATGCCAACACTGCCTACCTACGGGGTATTTTTTCTAGACTTCACTTCCTATATCTATTATTTTTAAATAAAATAATTGCTCCCCCTACTTTTACAATATCTATTACAGTTCTTTGGTGCCCGTCTCCCCAGACTTCTTTCCAGAGAAACACACATACATTTTTCTGTGATAGCTGTCCTCACATCAGAACTTGATGTTTTGTTTTTCAGATTCTGTGCCAAAGTAAAAACAGAGTCCAGTTGGGGATGTCGATTTTCTAAATCCTCATTAGTTATCTGTAAAGAGGCAAAATTAAAAACTGTTACCATTGGAGATATATTCAAAAATACAAATTTTCATTTTGCAAGTCTTCCTAGGGCATCAGTTCAAGAGTGTCACTACTTGGTGGAAGGTCTTAATGATAGTGTAAGTGAACTTACAGAGGTGGTACTAAGAACAGATCAAGTACAGATCTACATTGTGCTAGACAAATTGTCTTCTCCACTATTTCTTGTACAATTGTTGCCTTTGCCTAAATATTAGTACAACTGATTGATTTTCCCTAGGATACCAGGGCATGTTACCTATGTTCTGTTTCAAGGATTTTATTACACACATACATATGCATATTCTTCAATATTTTACACAAAGCACATTCAAGTTCTGTTTTTAGCCAGCGAAATACCTCCATTAACAGCAAGGTCTGCTAAACTGCATTATTATATAGCCTCTCTTTTCATGGAAAGTAGCTCAGGGAAATCTCTATAATGAGCATTACATACATAACAAATTCTGCATCCACCCAAAAAGACCTCTTGAGAACAGTCCCAAGAAACGGCATCAGTTATATTATTACAACAAAGTGATAGGCAATTAATTCAATCACTGCTATGTAAAAAACATGTGCACACACACACACAAATGCCCTAAAGCTATTAGTTACTAATTGGTCTACTTTCAAAGTTGGCCAATATCTGACGCAAAGAAAATGGCAACATAAATATGTGTAACTGCTTCTCTCTCAACTTCTGCCAGTGCAAATATCAAATGCCACTACAGACATTTAAATCTCTCTTTAAACTCAATCACTGGTTGCCTAGGGCAGTTGGATATCCATGTTTTACAGTTGCTGAGTAAAGCAATTAACCTACATTAAATGAATTTCATTTTATTAAACAGAATGTAAATATGGCTATTTGTAGATAATAACAATGTTTCAGGAAAGGTGAATTTGTTCTAGTAATCTGCATCATATGACATTTCTGCAGAACACCTTTCACATACAAATGCAGGAGGCATTTTCAAAAATCAGTGTTGGCTTTAAAATAGTAATAGCATTAGACAATGTTATGCATTGTATTTATGGGGGTTAGTCACAAACAGAACCATTTCAAAGGGATTGTGTTCGCAGGGAGATTTGCAGAGGCTTAGCATTTGATGGGGACTGATCATAAATTAAGTAACAAGATCTAAACACAGTACTACACATTCTACTTGCTGAAGAAGGCTGCACACACCATAATCCTGTAAGACATACCCCATGTCCTAAGGCCCTTCAGCAACATTGTTTGGAGGGAGAAAAGCAGCAGCTCAGAACTCTGAATATATTTAAATATATTCACATATTTAATTCCCACATGTAGTAAGAATGCAATGAGTTTTCCCAAAGAAAGTTCCAAAGTAGAAAATTAGAGTGCATATAAACTGTATAATTAATACAGTTTGAAACCAGTTTAACTGCTATAACTGAATGCTAGGGTATCATGGGAGTTGCAGTTTTACAATATGTTTAGCTTCCTCTGCCAAAGAGTGCTGCTGCCTCACCAAACTACAACATCCATGCTTCCATTGATATTTTTTTTTAGTTTGGAACACTGCTGGGGAGAACTCATTTATTTCCAAATGAATGTTTATAATCAGAAAATATCTCCTGAGACATAACGTATGTTTTTCTTCCAAAGAGTAATGTTTCCATTTGAACAAAATACACTGCCTTCTGCACTTCATCTGAAAACCAAAAGTACACATGGGGATGTTTTGCACAAGAAAGAGGACATTTGCATGAATAACATACATTGACCACATTGTGTACATTACTGCGATATGTGCAAATACATTCCTGTCCAGAAAAATCACATGCTACTTTCTTGTAAAAGAGACCATGCATTCAAAAATGAATACATAAATTCTGAAAGAAACATTTCTTTGGGCACAAAAAAGATTTTCTGCATAAGAAAGGCACAAGGATTTCTGTGCAAATTGATAATCCCCCCCATGAGATCCCAAAATGCCCAAAAGTTCATAGGTGTTCTTCACAGCCCTAGTTCCCTGGCCATAACAGAATGCAAGAGGACAAAAACCAAGGAGAAAATGCACAGACTGTAAGCCATAGGATCTTCAACCAGAAGAAGGACGCTCTCTTCAATCCTCCTGTTCAAAAGTAATGGGCACTAGAATAGGTACTGTGCTGAATATTGTGCATAGCTTAAAGATACACATATAATCAGCACTTGGTGAAAATACTTTTTTGGACTACATTCTCAGTCAGTACAACCAGTGGGAATTCTGGGAATTGCAACATCAAAAATAACTTATAAAAGCTCTGTGCAAAGCATCCAGGCCTTGAAGAACTTCTAGCTTCTACAAAGACTTAACCCTATACCAGATTCTTCTTTGGAAAACCTTTTTTTCAATCAGTCTGCCATCACTACACTGACTACAAGGGAATAGCCTCTGTTCCCTCAGAACAAAAAAGAACATTGAAAAGTATCTTCAGTATTTCAAAGAAAAAGAACATTTCAGGGGCTGGCATACTTTCATACGTGCAATGGTCTGATTGATTTCCTCAGCATTTCCCACAGTAACTATGTTGGACTTCAGCATCTGATCAATCAATGCCAACCAGTCAGCCAGTTCTGTTGTAGTTTTATCAAGATCAGCAGGTGCCGAGATTTCCAAAGTCTGTGGAGTCTGAGCAATATTTTCAGAGCCAGAGGACACTAGCACCATCTTTTGGAGAACAGGGTATCCTAAACAATACAACATGGTTTACTCAGCATTTCAATTAACATTGAGAAGTACCAGGTTTTTAAAACTTGAAAATGCAAAGAATAAGTATCAGTTCTAGCCATTCTAAGTACATTTTTCATCTTTCTGTCCTAGCCTGTGAAACATTAAATTAGAGCTGTGGAGTATCCTTACCTGTATGGTCATGCACAGTTCATGAAAAAAGAAAGATGGCACCTGTGATTCAACAGCATCTTTAGGGCCACACATTCCCCATCCCTGCCTTAAACGGCTGGATTTCAAGTTCAAAATACTCAATATATCCATATATTCACAGTTCCCCATTTGACCTATTACCCTTGAGGTATGGAAAGCTTGACATAATAACCATCACAGAACCAGCAACAACCTCCTCACTGTCAGATTTGGTGAAGTGTGAAAAAATCCATCATCTGATCATTTTATCGGGCATTTTGAGAACATTAAAAATAAATTGGCAAAATTCACACACCAATAAGCTGTCATCAAGGGACCAAAACATAACCTGATCCTGCTCTGAGATCTGAGTGAGTTCCAGGAAGAAAGAAATAAAACAAAAAAGAAAAAAGACTGACAGCCAATGAAATGCCAGTGAATAATAAGCTAGCATGGGTTATTGATCCTACGAGTCATAAAAATGTAGGAATACATCAATGCAGTTCTTTAAAAGTCTGATAACATAAAAGGAACTTTTTTATTACTCGTGTGATGTCAGTCTCGTTTGTTCAGAGAGTAAATCACAGTTCCATTTGAAAAAGTACGTTTAAACATACAGTCTCAATTATTCAGTATTAAGGCCTTTAAATAGCTATCTTAATTATCAGAAACTAGTATCTTAATCATTCAAGATTCAATATATATTTATAATGCATTTTTCTTCTTATCCAAGCCCTAAGATTTAACAAGGTAATCAAAATTTATCTCATCCTCTGCCCACTCATCCCAAAAGATACATTTTTGATCAGAACTCACCAGAAGGTTTTGTCTGTGGCACAAGATGGAACTGATGAACAAAGACCTCTAGTTCTCTTGCTCTGGTAGGTGCTTCTCTGAACACCTAATAAGGAGACAAAATTTTATATCAGAAGGACCAAGGAGTACACAATGCTTTATATATCTAAAGCATTACCATTACAGAGACACCTAAGGAAAAGAACTGCCCCTGGATATTGTATGTTTGGGGAAGCTGTGTAGGAATAGTCTGCTCAACAGATTTTTTTTTTCAAAATGCAACTATAGCAGATGACAAGTGTGGAGAAAAAAAGTGCCCCAATAAGCACCAACACAGCCTTAGCTCTGGCTTTAAAATTGATTTCCCCCCTCTTTATGAAACCAAAGACTGGGACACATCTCTTGTAGAGACAGAGGTTAATATACAACCAGTGTGCCTATGTTCTGAATTAGCATGGGGTAGGAATTTATCTGTGTCCAAACCTCCTTAACCTAATAAATAATTAGCTTCAAATTATTTGAGGAACTTCTGTAATGTCTAAAACTTAGGAAGGCATTAAAGAAAACATTAAACTACACTGTGACTAGAGCTATAACAATAAACACAGCAAACAATCAATAGCAATGTAAGCAGAACAACATCAACTAGTTTTAGTTAGCGCTCGAAACAATCCATATCCACTCACAATGTAGAAGTCCAATTGCTTTTTAACCTTCACTCTTAAGAAGAAATCATTCACACGATGAGGTGTTGTTCATAAATTAATCCTTTGCTCCCAGATAGGGAATGTGTTTAAGTTTTGTAACCAAGCAGTATCATTTTAGAAACAAAAACAACCCACCAGAAGTTAAGCTAACTGAAGACAAGGAGTAGAAAACCACTGGACATTGCCTACTTGGGAAAAAGCACACGAATATAACTAAAGCACCAATTAATACAATTATAATAAAATATTTTTGAGAACGAAAATAAAGCACTGAATTTTTTTTTATGTGTGGGACATTTTGTATGGGAAAAACATGGAAACCTAACATCAACCATATATATGGTGTCGAGTGTCACAGTATAACATAGAAAGTGAAATTTTCACTTGAGACATTCTCTTAAGATAAAATCTTCTCCAGAGATTCTGGCACTATATCTGTTGCCACAAAGGGAAGTTACTAACCTAGGCCATGAGAAAATAACTTGAAAATTTAACCAGACTTTTAATGTTGTGTTACTGTTTTAAAACTAATTGATCCAATCCCCGCTTCCCCTCCCCAAATAAATCTGCACAACTATTCAAATGTAGTTTGCAAGAGATCAATTACAGAGAACCCATGTAATACTTGGTCATTTCTAAGGAATTAGGAAAATTAATACCTTTTTCCATTTAATATTCAAGGATCTCAGTCTTTCAGAAATATTTTCTTTTTCTTGAGGCCCAATGCTTTTATTTGAGAGAACATCTGGTTCATTTCTGTTGAGCCATTTAAGTTTTTCTCCTTGAATTTGCATCTCCTCAATCAAGCCCTAAAGAGTTCAAGATCATGTTTAATTTGATGGAAACCAAGGAATTCTGAAGAGGAAGTATATGTGGATTAATTCTAGGAAAGCCCACAAAACTCCCATAATGTGAGACTGACCACAGAAGGTGGAACATAATTTGTTTTAAAATGCAAACTACTCAATCCAAACATGCTGATAAACATGTGCATTGTATAAAATTTCTGGTGCCCCAATAAGCCTCAAGAACTGTTAAAAAGTTAGATATGTTGAGCATTTCCTGGTAGCTTTTTCTTAACATTTCTATAACATTTTCTAATATTTCTGAAGCCCTACAAAGTTAAAACCCAAGTATATAACACACAACAGAATTAAGTCCTAAAACAAAGCAAATTATCCAAAATATGCTGGAAAAGTCAAAGCAAAAATGCAGATATCCACTCACACTCTCAGAAAGACCATGATAGTTGAGGGTTTTTTTGGGGGGAGGGTACCAAAAGAAAAAGTGTGAACAGTAATTCAGCAACACTGCTATAAGTGATTATTCATCTTTTCAATTGATTGTTCTCTGCACTGTTACAATCAAAAATATTAATTTATCATATATACCCTCAATAACAAAGAGAGAAGTGATATTATCAGTTAGTTTTAAATCTGATATATATGAACTTTTAAATACCTTTTAAACCCCTTAAGACATGAAAATAAGTGTAATGGAAACGAAAATTAGATGTAATAACCATAACTATGTACATCGCCTTTTTTCCCAACCTCCGCACCCCTCTCCTGTGAAATACTTGATATTGGTCAAGACTTAATTTACTAACAATAACTCCATTATCCCTACCTCCCCTTTCTTTTCCCCCGACCTCCATACCCTTCCCCCTTGTATGTGTGTGAAAAAAGGAAATGTCTAATAAATATGTATATGTCAAAAAAAATTCTCAACATTAAGAAGTGGACATCTGGCCACTTTAGAATTTTAGGTAGGAAATTTATTGATTGACTGATGGAATTTTTGCATTTCTGCCACTCCAAGAAGTGGTTCTACAAGAAGAAAACTGGGCCTTTAGGCCCACTGAATTCCCCAAAACTGGTATAGATACTGAACTATCTCTCTTAAAACAGAAGGGGTTAGTTCAATAGAGGCTATCACTGATGAAAATGGAAAAGAAGGTTTATTTTCTTCCCCAGTGTAGCCCCATACTTCTCCCTATGCTGCTCCAGATGGCTCCCCAATATCTGTATCAGATATGGCTGTAGAAAGAACTGTAAAAAATTAACCCCCCCCCCCCTCCCCCCATGCTTCACTTGGTATACAGGGATATACCCATGTATCAATGATTAATTACAATAATACAGACCTGAAAGTGTCTACGTATGCATCCTAATCAGAAGAAGAATCGATGACAAGTCAAAACTAAACAAAGTTGATTGGTTACTTGCCATTAATTCTCGCAGATTTTCTTCATGGCTGATGGTAGGATTTTCCCCCAGGGCATTTTCTACATTTTCCATCCAGCAACTAAATTCCTCCAGTTTTCTCGTGAAGTCTATTAATTGTTGGCTTTCAGTTTTCAGTCTGAGGCACAAACCATAACATGAAAAGTAAAACAAGAAAACCATTATGAATATTCAAACATATATAAAATTAAATCTGGATAGCAGCTGACATTGGGCATCTTCCTTCTTACCTGTCTGATTTTTTGCTACCTGATTTTAGGGGAAAATCAGATTTTAAAAGTTTAAAATTCAGCACTAACTACATTTACCTTTAGACAAACTGGTTTACTTTCAACTTGAGTACAAGCACATTTTTGCTTCTTATAAACTCTTTTCTCTTAAAAGGTACTCACAGCAGGAAACACAGATCTCTAATTAAATGTAATTCCAAAAGTTCAACATTGAAACGCAACATAAATTGATGCACTATTTCATAAAGCAGAGCAAGAAAAGGTTTTCAGCTTCTTTCCTTGTACATCTATCTCCTCAAAGCAGAGGTGAGTCCCAATTGCTTTAAAGCATCTTTAGAATCAAGCCATAAAAGTTTTGTCTTAATGAAAAGCACTCTTGTCCCCAGTGCTTCTCCTAAGATATCCCAAATGTTAACTGATGCAGTTACCTCTGTTGCTTTTCCATGACTTCAGTAGTGATGACTTTCCAGCGTTTATTTAACCCTGCTAGTTTCTCTTTTAAGAAGCTGCCATCTGTAGTGGAGAGTCTCTGTACAATTCCTTCTCCAGTTCTGTTCAGTGCTGAAAAGCTGGCCTGATGGTTGCTGACTCCTTCTTCAAGTTCCTGTCACAAATATAAAAAAACAAGCTAGATTTTGTTGTTTACCCAACCTGACACTGATCTGTAGCCTGAAACAATGACAGAGTATACAGTGCTTTAAAAATAGAAATTATATCACTGTTGTTTAAGAGAATTATTAAGTGCTTGTTATTACAAATGTGCTAATCAATGAGAAATGGCACATGAAATAATGTTGAAGCTAGGTCAATAGGAAGGCTTAACACCCTTTAAACTAATATGCATATATAGAGATACACACACATACACATCAGATCTCTCTAGTGTAGCAGGTTTACACACATGTTCTTAAGATCCTGTACAATTTTTTTCTTGAACACTTAATGGGGGGGGGGGGGGCAATGGGAAAGATGGGAGCTGCATTAATTTATCACAGAATGAATGTTCTTCCTTTCATTGTAACAGTACAAGCTTCCAGCTAGGCTAATTAAGGACAGTGTCCCCATGATCTGCAGATATAATCAAAAAACCCAAGAAAACTGAGAGAAGTCAGGGGAAGTCAGACTCAAATATTCACATCCTTAACAACCAGAAAAGCTATTTCCTGTCATCAAAGATCTCTTCGCTATAAAGTATAGTAAAATTATGTAACAAAAAGTCCTGTTCTAAGCACAGCACAAAACGCTAAATGCTTTTTGTAGATAATTTAAGTAAGTCTAACAATTAAGAACAACAAATTACGAAGTGGCTACTTTTAAGGATAGTGACTTCTATCTAAATACGATTATGATGCACCATCGCTCTAAATTAACATTGTAATTCCAGTTGTTAGTCCAAACTACAGGAAAAATACTTAAAATTAATATAAGTTACAATAGTAGTGATTTAACAGGTCTCACACATTCAATGAACCTAACAATTGACTTTATTTCAGAGAGTTTAAAGATAAGGTTTTGACCTGCACTCCCACACAAATGTACTTTTAACTAAACTCTGTGAGACTTAATTCAATGTAGATATAAATAGGATTGAACCAGAAATCAGATAAAATGGGAATAAGGCATTCAATAAATAAAATATCATATTTATGAAGGATTTTCTCAATAAGTAGCTATTAGGGCTGGGCGGTTTCGTTTCGTAATTTCGTAATTCGTTAAAAATTCATTATTTTTTTATAACAAAGCAATAACGAACCATTCAGGAGCAACTAAAAAACGAAATGAATTTTTAAATTCGTTTCGTAATTGTTTCAAATTCATTTTGTATTCATTTCGTTATCGTTTTGAAATCGTTTCGTTATTATTTCCGCATGTCTGGGGGAAGTTTTATAGTTGTTGTTTGTTTAATCAGTGAAAAAAATTATAAATATCACACCAACAGTCAACAACAGAGGGAGAGGGAAGCTTCAGAAGTTTCCCCTGTCCCATTTGGATGTTTTTTAGCGTATTGCGCGGTCGCGTCCGCCATTAACGAATCGATTCGTAATTGTTTCGTAATTGTTTTGTAATTTACGAAATTTCGTAAATATCAAACTTTTTTAAAGGAAAATTTCGGAATTCTTTTAAATAACGAAACGCAAAAAAACCCCCTAAAAACGAATCGAGTTTAGAAACAAATTTTTCCGTGGTTGGACAGCCCTAGTAGCTATCATTAGATTTTAATCCATACTTGTTTCCCACAATGCTTTCTTTCAGCTTAAGTTCTCAGGTGCTGTGAAATACTTGGGGAAGTGCAGAATAAACAAATTAAAAATGCATAGAACAAAACAGTCTGCAACATCTAATCAGAGCCATACAATTTCAAGTTTCCACCTTAATAGAAACAAGTCTACAGATAGAGAAGAGAGCTTTTACTTCTCATGCCAATCCATCACCAGTGCTATGATGGAGGTAACAGCAAGAAAAGCCAGTATGTTGGGAAGAACCCTGGATACAGTGGAGCAAGGCCTGGCCATTCCTAAACTTTAGTTCATGACAGGGGGAAAAGGAGCAAGACTCAGGCCTGCCATGCTAATCTCCCAACATGCCACGGAGAGCCTGTCAAATCTGTAGATGTGAATTATACACCTTCACTTGCCTGTCCCCACATAGGGGACATCTTTCCTGATGCCATTGCTATTCTGGAGAGAGGTTTCAAATAAAATGTTGACATTTGCAATTTGATTAATATTGAAATATACAGTGCCCTCTCGGGTTGGATCAACACTGCCATATAATGCCATTTCAGAAAGCAGATTAGCTGAATTGAACTGGATTATATGAATCTACACTGCCATATAATCCAATTCAATGCAGTTAATCTGCATTCTGAAGCTGCATTATATGGCAGTGTAGGTCCATCCTCATATAAATCAATAAGTCAAAAGATCAAAAGTTACACAGCTGACAGCAGCAATATCAACATCATTAGGAAGCCCTGTACATTATCTCGCAACATACTTTATTGTCTTTTAAATAATCGATTTTACAAAATATTAAGAAAAAGCAGATAATTTTGTCAATAAATCAACTGGAAATACAGTGTTAATTTGCCATGTTCCTCTCAATGGCAAAGATAAAGATAAAGGAAAGAACATGATGTCATAAGCAAATTCCAGAGCAAATACCTGCTGTTGTATTCTGGCTTGCTCTATATCCAGGTTACCATCAGCAGCATGGGCTTCGGCCAGCAAACCTTCTGCTTCTGCTAACCACTGTGATAGATCATTGAGATCGCAATGGAACTGTCTCCACTCTTCCACAGATTTATCAAAGCAACTGCATAAAACAAGTAATTTCCTAAGTTTTTTAAATTAGTGCTTTGCTTCCATTGCAAAATAGACAGTGAACTCTTCATACCATCATTTATTTACTTACTTACTTACTTACTTACTTACTGTATTTATATACAGCTTTTCTCACCCCAGGAGGGACTCAAAGCGGTTTACCACAAATAATGGCAAAATTCAATGCCTCAAATACATAAAAACCATATCATAAATCTAAACAAAACATATAACTATGCATTAAAATCAATAAGACAGTTATCCATAAGATGAAACATTTGGACATGAAAACATAGAAATTAAAACCACCTAAATAAAAACATTGAAATCACATGATCCAATCTTGTAGACCGGGGCAATTCCAAATGGGACTAATAAGACTAACAGAAACAAACTTGTTTAGCCATTTATCTCACAAAATCAAACATTAGTGATCAGATGTAATAGCATGGAAAGCATCATTAGGCATGAGCTCTAACTTTAAGGAAAAGTTTGCACATGGCATGGCGTGAGCTAGTTCTTCTGCCCCTTTCTTAACTTAAATGTAGAAAGTGATTAGACTTAATTTTATTCCTTTGTATATCTGATACTAGACCGACAGAAAGATAGAAGAAATATTCTCCTTCAAGGACTAATCCTTAATTATTTAATCCACCAACTAGTGCTTTTAGGAGGCACGAAAACTAGCTCATACCATATTTAAATCTTACTAGAACATCTGATTTATCTACAAACTATAAGGCACTGTTAACAAGTACATCAAGAAGTAGCAGGAGAGGAGTCAAACACTCTGCATACAACTAGAATCAGAATGAGACATGTCTTCCTCAAAAATGAAGATAAGGAAAATCTATTACACATTTTGGCAACAAAACTGGCACTGATTCACTAGCAAAAGGTTTTACTGGCCATTTTGAGCAGCTTTCTTTTCTTTTCTTTTTTACAATGGAATGGAGATCACTATTTTGCAAAATAAAATCCAGATATGGTGGCCTTCATTTAGATCTAATTCCTGACTATAAAGTAAAATGGAGAAGGAAAGGAGTGTCTGTTTATAGCCATGTCTACCTTGCTCTCAGTTAAGGTCTCTGTGGACCATGTACATGAGTGTGTCCTAAAAGGTCTGCATTATGTCTAACCCTTGACAAAAGCATAGGTTTAAATCTAAAAGTGATTTCCTATCTCTACAAAAAAAAATTCAAAATACTAAAATGACACTATGTTCCTCCCCACATAGCTTATAACAGAAATCAACTCCTCTTCATGAAGAATTATTTATTTTGAAACATTAAATATAGAGGGTCCTTTTATTTACCTTTTACGATCATTGTACATCCTGTTAATTCTGTCCCATTCCACATTCAGTTGTGTTAGTGAGTCTCCTATTTGTACAGCTTCAGATCCAGATGCTTCCAGTATAACATCCGGTTGTTTTTCATGAATAATTGCAATCTGATCTCCAAGTCTGTCCAACATGTCCTTTATGTTCTGTAAGTAGAGTATATCAAAAAATAATATGAAAATGCTCCACAAGGCAGAAGTAGCAGCCAATTAAAATCGAGAACCAGATGGGAAAAGAGAAGTCCAGTTAGATGTCAAAAAACATAAACAATGTACAAATTTAATACCTTCTATTTTTGCATAAAATGACAAATTTAATTCTAGCCAATGAGTTTTACCATAATATTCTATTACAGACAAATAAAACTCCCATCTGTGAGATTAGAATCTAGACGTTATATATTAACATGTTGATCCTCCTTTTATCTACTGTCATTCTAAAAAAATTACTTTTCCTATATTAGACAATAATTTAGATTACTGTATTTCTTTCTCTTTCTGGCTTCTTCAGAATGTCTTGTTCTGGTCCTTCCCCATAACACAAGTATAAGCCCAATTCCCAGAATATACTTATATGTACTGCCACACACAAAAACATATGCACACAGGTTTTTTACATGCTCATGCTTTCAATAGAAAAATACTCCCTGGGAGGAAGCAACATAGGTTTCTTTCAATGGTTTGATGACTTTTTCATTCTCAAACTACAAAGTGAATGAAGAGGTGGATATTTTGTTGAGGTCCCAACCTCTGAAACTCTCACCTTGATCATATGAGCAGGGATACAGGCAGGGTAGGGTTCAAAGTACCCTCTCTTTCCTTAGGCTATAATGTCTACACTCTAGCAGGACTCCGATTGGTTTGGCAATACTACCAAAATTACTTTGCTGAAGCCCAAAGAGGACACTCTAAAAGAGGCACTCCCACAACTGCCCACAGAGATTGACTTTTATATTGCACCTTCATTGGTTCTTGAAAATTAATATGTCCTCTTAGGTACATGAAAACATACATATACATGTTGAAATCAGAGACCACCCAGTTTTGTAACATAAGGTTTACACTGCATCAGAATTAGGCCATAAGTAAACAATAATTACCATTTTAAACAGAAAATTCTGCTTTCAAGCCTCATACTACAGTTTTCAGTACCTTTAATGAATCTTCTTGAGTAGAAAAATCCTCAAAAACACCAGAATGAAGTTCAGGGGCATTTAGTAAGAGCTCAGCATCAGCTATAGCCAGTAATATCTTGTTAATTTCAACCAGGTATTCTGCAGGGAATGGAGATGCCCTGACTGTAGATACATGAGGAACTTGAATCCTTTCGGAAACTTCCTAAAGCAAATGAAAAGGGTGTCAATTAATTCCTTTACATCATTTTCATTATAAAACAAAAAATGCATTTATTTGTACTTCTATTGTACTCCATCCTTAAGCTTATGTGAAAGCTGTAAACTTAAAATAAACAGAAAAGTTAACTGAAATATTTCTTTTTAAAGATGAACCGATTAGAATGTTGAAATAGCATCCTAATTAAATCACAATCATAATTACCAGGAACTAGCTATTTCTATAAATTAGATTACCTTTCCTTCTTCATATATGTATTTCTTTTTTTAAAAAAATCTATTAATCAACAGAACATCAAAAACAGATGTGGCAATATTTCAATTACGGGATAAACATCACTTTCTAATGAAAATTTATACTGAATTCTCATCAGATTGCAATAAGCCTCTTGAAATGTATATGCAAGTTGGGCATTGCTTATATGAAATGCTTGGGAACAGAAGTGTTACATATTTCAGGGTGTGTGTCCCCCATATTTTGGAATACCTGCACATGCATACACAGATATTGTCAGTCTCTATCTTTTGTCACCAGACACTCACTTTCACCTTCAGAGAAGCCTCTGTGATGCTTGTTTGTCTCTCAGATCGCCAGTGTCCCTCTGGACTCACGTGCCATTTGTTTCCTACTTGGGTTGTCCCAAGACTAGAGCTAGTTTTTTCAGAAATAAAATTTGTAGCTCAGGTACTGAAGATGCTCCAAAGAGAGCAGCACAGAAACAGACTTTAAATGCAAGTTTTCTTCTATCTCTTCTTCCCTTTCCTCAAGAAACATAGCACCATTTTGTAAAGGGAGGCAACTGGGGATGAGAGGACTACTGAGTCACTTGAAGTTCATATAAAATATGGAGAGATGTGTTGATTTCATAATAGTTTGGGGATTTCTGAGCTACCAGATGAAAATTTCCGACCTCTGTCCACCCATCCTTGAAAATCTTCATGATTATTCCTGATTGCCTATCAGTAGATTGCTTACAAAGGAACAAGAAGGTTGCCTGACACTATACCAAACTGGCAAACAGAAGTCCACAACAAGCAATAAATGATGTGCCTTCCACACTGCAGCTATGTCCAAAGCTAGTATGGAATACTCTTGAAGTTAGAGGAATTTTCCAGTTGCAATCTTCACTCCCAGTCACAATCATTACTTCAGGCACCAAATAAAGAGGAATGGACAAAGCAAAAGACATACGACTTTGAGTGGGTTATCTGAGCTTCATACAGGCAGGGTTTGTCTAGAATTTGAAAAAAAGGTTGCTTTGCATTTGTGATCCTGCCTCCTGACTAACTGGGAAAGCTGTCCTGCCTGTCTTTATTTCCACAACTTGGGAAAAGAGCATCACTGAGTTGGGAAGAATACAGAATGATTTAAGGAAGACTAGAATGGAAATTTTCTGGGAGAAGGAGAGGAGAAAAGCAAACACTATGAAACCTGCCAACAGATAGAGAAAATGAGTAGAAAAACATGTATCTTTTTGGATGTAGTCTTAGAACTATGGGTCACCAAGGCAGACAAAGAGATGCACTTTATGATGTGATGGCTGCTAGTTATTTTAGTTAATTATGTGGACAAGGACAGAAAAAACTCAATCACTTCAGAATTTGCAAGGATATCAAATTCCATAGGCCCTGTCAGCAGGACTAACTGTTGGGGATAATGCAGACTGCAGTACCCAATCACTGGAAGGAACATGGATTCCCACCAGAGTGGAATACATTCACAGAGGTCAGCAGCTATTAGTCATTAGTCAATGAATCCTTCACACTCTTCAGAAGTGTTCTTTTGAGTACCAGATGCTGTTGACAAAGTATAGTAGATGGTCACCTTCATGCTCTGCTTGTGAGATTTCAGAAGCATCTGGTTAAATGCTATTCAAAACATAATACTAGATGAGACAGACTTTGGTCTTGTCCCAGAAGGCAATTCATTCAAAAGGGCACAAAAATTAACTGCTTCTAATCATCAGAGTTGCATCCTACTTTTTCTCCAAGGAGCTCAGGTTGGTCTATGAATGGATTATAGGCCAACCTCACACCAGATGCAGAGAGATTGATAATATCCCCAACTGGCATATCTCTAAAGCATAAAGTAAATAAAAAATAGCCACGAAAAGGTGATTGTTCATTTTCTGAATTACTGAATTACTGTATATAAAACTGCATAATCATCAGTCTAGAGCAGACTGAAGGTCATCAAGGTCCCCAAAAGGGAAATGTTAGTCACAGTACTATTGATCACATGTTTACCATTTGCTATCTACAATGTGCCAAAGGTAAACGAAAACAAAACCCACAGCTGCCTTATGATCAATGTTTCATTCAGAACAAAAGGCAGACATGATTTTCTACACAAAAAATACATTTGAGATGGGAAAGAAAGTTTGCCAAATTCATAACGTCTTAATAGTTTGGGCACAGTAACACAGTAGTACTTTATCTTTTGAGTACATTTGATTATTCAGCTACTGTGCAGATCTTTTCTATATACATAAGGAATGTGTGAATGGAAATCAATGGTGTGCCCTCATGCTGTCTGGTATTTGCACCCTGAAGTCACTTGTGAAAAGGACCTGTGAGTATAAATATGGAGTGCAATGTATTTAAATCCCACTTGTCCTCATCCAGAAAGGAGAAAAAATTCTGGTCTCCTTCTATGTAGTAATTATTACATTCCTGAATCTAGAACCAAGTCCTCCACCATCTGCAGAGGAAAACTACAGGACACCTGATTACCATTCTATGTGGAGGAAGGAGAAGACACCAGAGACCGAGAAAGATGATAATAAATGAATATGACTGTACTATAGACAATGATTCTGTACATTAAAATAATAGCCGGAAAAGGCTTTAGACAATGCATGAATGAGTATCTTTTTTACTGACATTCTCCAAATAAAGAAAATGGTGAAGGAGCAGGAAGTCATGTATTTTGTGACATACAACACCATTTTGTAATCATACTGAATGTTTTTTATCAGGCCTCTTCAATTTTGTGTTTTGAGGAAGGGATATTATAGCATTCACTATTTTTCCTTGGTTCTCTCTTCCAGTTATAGAAACTTAAAACAGTTATGCAGAGAGATGGCAGTCCTGGGAAGGTAAAACATTGGGTGCATCATTGGAAAATGCCAGATCTTCAAGTGGTTCTTCTGCAGCCATCTGTTCTGCATCAATCATCTGCCCCTTCAATTGTACTTTCTGTAACTTGCTAACAGATGAGCAAAAAACAAACAAGAAGACTTAAACTGTTTTTTACTATAATAATTCACAAGCTCATGCATTTTTGCCTAAGAAAATCTCTACAACATATACCAATTTCATTCAAACTGCCAAAAATCCATTAGGAGAAGAGTGAATTGCTGCTTCTTCAAAAACACTGAGTGCTTTCCTTTCATGAAACATATTGCACTTATCCTTTCTGAAATTTTGCAACTTTCTTGTCAAAAGGTCATATATTTGCTGTATGAATTTTTCATATCAATTGATTGCAAACAACCCCACTGGAGATACATATGTTCTAGAGATTGCCGCCATCCCAACCGCCCTACAACGGTTCTAAAGCCTGGCAGATTTTATCAATTCAGAAGCCTTAATTATCTCTGTAGGTTTGGCCTAATACTGATTTTTTACAAAAAAAAATTAAAAAATCCAAAATCAAAATTGGGAAAGAAAGATGGCAGATACTTAACTAATTTGGATGTTGGATGAGAGTTCTATGATTACAATGACCAAAATGACCAAATATATGGATCCTAGAATCACTGAAGCTGGAATTCATCCTAGGACCCCAAATGTTCAAACAGAGGCTATTCAAACTGAGGGCTGCTATTTGTCAAAGCCAATTCACCAACAATAAAGAATAAAAAAGTCACAGATATACACACGTAAGCAGCATACGTGATATGCAAAATTCAGGTCCACTTAACAACACATTACATTATTTAAATTTAAACGTAACTACCAGTAATTGTTTTCTGTTCAAGGTGGAAACTTAATTTGCAGTTCTAGCATTATCAATAAGTGATGGGATACTTTCTCATCACATACACCTTAATAATGCTTATGGGGTGCAAAACACTGACTACCTTAAACTACATCTAAGACTTTGTAGCATCTGATGATTTACAAGACAGTCCATAAAAGTTCATGATATAATAAATGAGCTAGTCTTTAGGGTGCCATATGAATCCTTATTGTTTTTGATCCAATTTGGTGGGGAAGTGTTAAGATTTTTATGTACTGAATTGAAACATTTGAGAAGGACATGTTAAACCATCCTCCTGAACAAAATCACATCTTGCAAGCTACCATGTGGAGAAAATACAGGTGGGGCTGCCATCAAAATAGGGCACTGCCGTGGGAGAACATTGTAATTCTATGCTACGTAAGTATACTTCAATGTTTTTAACATTCCCTGCTGTCAGTGTCAATTGGTTCTAGGGTTAAAAGTTACAGAAAAGTCATAAAGGGATTAATTCATTCAATTATAAAGTTCCACAACTAGAAATTCAAATGTGTTTGACAGATTGCCTACAGGGCAATGTATCAATTTCAACAGAAGATAGCAAATTCTTGCAGCTTTATCTTCCCCAGTCCTATGCTTTGCAGACTTTTGAGATTATCCCTATCATAAGCCTCCCCTGCTAGTATGATCAATGTTTGTGGGATCTCTAATACAAAACGGATGGCTGTTGCTTGCTATACCTCAATACTGGGGGGGGGGGGGACGACCTTTTCCTTAACTGAGTTACTTGCTGTTGCATGCTTTCAATTCATTTTGGATTTAAAGTGACCCTAAGCAAAAATAACATAGGATTTTCTTGGTAGAATGCATTCAGAGGGGGCTTGCCCTTACCTTCCCCTGAGGCTGAAAAAGTGTGATTTGCTTAATATCATGCAATAGGTTTCCATGGCCAAGTGAGAATTCAAACCCTGGTCTCCCACTGCCCTAGGACAAGGAAAAGTGTGCTAACTTCCAATCCACTGCTGGCTATCCCCATGGGATATGCCAACCTTCAGTAACTATAATGGATTTTCTTGCTTTACATTTTTCTTGCTCTCAGCCCCACCCCCTTTGCAAGTGCAATTGGTGGGGACAAGAGACAGGACCTTCTCAGTGGTAGCCCCTTGGCTGTGGAAGCCCTCCCCCCCCCAGTGAAATCAGACTGGCCCCATCCCTCCTGATCTTCAGGAAAAAGCTAAAGACCTGGCTTTGTACACAGGCACTCGGGGAGTAGGCTATTATGGAACTCGACCTTAAATCTGGCAGCTTGAATAATGATTATGGGACAATAAAGTATGGAAAATCAAGACTTGAAACTATGTGTGTTTTTAATCTATTTTATTGTATTTATACGTTTTAACTGTTAATAATTTGATGTGGTATGTTTATAGTGATGTATATGCTGTGCCATTGAATTTTTGCCATAATTTATTAGCCACTCGAAGTGGGTGACAAAGGCGGGGTATAAGTACAGTAAGTAAATAATAATAATAAATATTAACCTGTTTTAGATAAAGTTGGGAGAAACCCTGTAGCATGCTGGGTTGTTGCAGCAGCCTGGGTACTTGAATCAAGTCCAAATCGGCCCAATCTGCTCTCCAGGCAGACACCTCACCATCACACTTTGCCTACACTGAGTACCACATGGGAAGGACATATCCTCTGCTACTGCCCCTTTCTGCTAACCATGGAATTGCTTACAAGTGCCTGGCTGTCACAGTTCCATTTGTGCTATTAGGATGGGACAACCTAGCAACCAGTAAGAATGCAGGATCACAACAAATTCATCCTGGTGCATGTGACCACCATCACAGTCACACCAGATTGCTACAGCTTTAAGTGGCAAGTGTTTGAGGGCCCTAATCCAACCCACAAACTGCTACATCATAGGGTTGGAACTTTACTAGTGGCAACACTGCTGTAAAGATGCCACACAACAAAACCGAAGAATGTTGCGTATACCACACGTTAGTTACATACCTACCTTACCTCTGAGCAAAAAGACGCGCCCTTCCAACATCATGTGCATGTGGAGTGACGCAAAGAACTGACCCTCAGATTAGTTTGTGGTCTAAAGTAAGTGTTGTCGTGATGTTTTCGAAACAAAAACAGTGTTGGATAAAGATTGAATGTGCCAGAGGTCATACAGCACAACAGTGTCATTAAGGTCTTCAAGAGGCTTGCGGGGATCTGCATTGACTTATAGAGCAGTGGCAAGGTGGGTAAAAGCCTTCAATGAAGGATGCCAAAATGTGGCAGACATGAATTAGCCAGGTCGTCCTAGTGTCAGCGAAGCGGAAGGGAAGGATGTTGCAGCACTAATAGACAGTGATCAATGCCATTCGATTTGTGAGCTGGCCCAAAACACAGGATTTGAGCATACGACTGTGCTTCACATTCTGAAGGAACATCTGGGCATGACAAAAATTGCTTCACAATGGATTCCATGTCATTTGATGGAAATGCAGAAATGGCTACAATACGATGCTGCTCCTGCCTACTTGGAGTGGTATGAGCGCGAAGGAGAGGCTTTATTACACTGGATGAGACTTGGGCCAGATCGTACCAGTCAGAACTGAAACACCAATCAAATGAATGGCATCATTACGGGTCACCACAAAGTTTTGTCAGAACCCCAGCAATGTGAAAGTTATGGTGATTCTCGTGTATGACTGTGATGGTGTCATCCTAATGCATACCATTCCCCACATCAGACCGTCAATGCACAGTTTTATTGCTCATTTTTGGAACACCATCTTAGACCAGCTCTGAGAAAAAAATGACGACACTTTCTGCAGAACGCCCCTATCATTTTGCACGACAATGCTTGGCAACATGCAGCGCAAGCTGTGGCTGATTTGCTTGATCGATGGGGCTGGGAAATGCTATACCATCCACCAAACTCCCCGGATTTAAGCCCTTGTGACTTTGACTTCATTCCTAAGATGAAGGAACCACTTTGTGGCATTCGCTTCAGAACTGTTCCAGAGATTCTTGGGGCAGTAGACCACTCCATTCGAACTATCAACAGAACAGGTGCTGCAACAGGTGTCCTACACATCATTGGAAACAGGTTGTACACAATGCTGGCAACTTTATTGATGGACTGTAAAACTTGGATGCATGTATCACTTTTGTATTATATGTAAATAAATAGTTGCCACTATTAAAGTTCCAACCCTCACTCAACTACAAGTACAGGTACTCTATCAATGGTTTTTTACTTTTGCATCTGAATCTTACAAAATGTTCACTTTTTCAGCATCATAAAAATAATGATAATAAGAATTATCATCTAGTATCACTCATTAGTAGATAAAAAAATGAGTGGTTGATCTGTTACTATATCTCAGGAACATGATTTCTCAAACAACTGTAAGAAATTATTTTTCTACCTGTAATTTCCCCTCATCTTCTGCCCTTTGTTGTCCAGAAAGACTTCCATCAGTCTCATTCAGCCAATGTAAATGACCTTCTTTTTCTGTAGTATATGGAGAGAATGAAGGAGAGGCTTCTACCACCTGTCTCCTTTGTAGTGATCTGAGTTCCTATAATGAAAGAAATGAATGATCACAAATCAATGGTTGAAAGGACCAAGAAGTTCAAGTTGATATTATTTTAAATATGATCCAGGTCCTAAAACAGTTTCTGTCCTCCATAATGGACTGAATGAGGGCAAGTAAACTGAAATTTAATCCAGACAAGACAAAAGTGCTCCTGATTAATTGAAAGACAGATTTGGTAATAGGAATCCAGCCTATGTTAAAAGGGGTCACACTCTCCTTAAGACACTGGTCCACATTTTGGGGAAACTCCTGGACTCAGGTTGAATCTGGAGGCCCATGTTTCAGCAGTGGCCTTTGAATATTTAAAACTTGTGTGCCAACTGCACACATTCCTTAAGATGCCAAATCTGGCAATGATGGTACATGCCTTAGTTACATCCAGTTTTGATTACTATAACAGGAAGCTATCTTTGACAAGTGTTTGGAAACTTCAGGTGGTCCAAAAACTGTCACCAGATTGTTAACCAGAAAGAGAGATGGAAGAGAAAAATAAAGAGAGATTTCAACTGGACAGTGAGAGAAGAAACTCTCTGTATCCTGATCAGTAGAGAAGGAAGCAAACAGTTCCGCAGTTTTTTTTCAATGCAAATAAAAAGGAACTGAAGGTTTGAGTGGGAATCTGACTAATCACATGGACCAAGTGAGGCAGGGTGACTGCCAAAATACATAGGAGTTCTAGATGGCTCTGAATAATATACTGTGTATATGTAGTAAACTCCATTTGTTAGAGTCCATAAAGAAGGACCCTTCTGGATTAGGAAACATCTACCACTTTCCTTTCAGTAGGGAATTAAAAGCATCTGCAGAGAAGATACAGCAAAAAGGACATTTTCCTTTCTTTGATGGAGATAGGAAAGAAGATAGGTAGAGGCTTCATCTGCACAGAAGTATGGTTAAAGTATAATGGGTTTCACATAAGGCTGAAATAGTTAATGATGGACTAATTGATTAGGATCTATTTAATATAATCACAACTCTAGTTTCAGGATTATGACAGAAAAGTACTTGTTACATATTAGAATGGGAAGTTGTCATAATGATATTTAGTGGACAGTGTTCTTGGATTGAATGAAACTACACCTAGTTTTTTATCAATGCTATTGTTAATCTGAAATTGGGTAATAAGAGGAAGATTTTCTGATTGGTACAGGAAAATGTGGCCTTGATGTATAAGTCCTACTGGGTGGTAGGGAACACAATGCCTCAGAGAAAACATTTTTAGATTCATTGCTAGATGGCTCATGACATTTCTTCATACTTGACAGTTCTATGATTATTTCACATAATCTCAATTGTAAATACTTCCAATACTTTAGGGGGAATATATTTTAACTGACCTTCATGCTGCTTTGTCTGGTCTGCAAAAGCAAAAGCTGCAAACGAATTTTCTCTCGTCTGCTGTCTTCTGTAAGCTGCTGTAAAAGCTGCTCACCTTTTTGCAAGATTTCCTCAATTTGTGCTCTCTCTTCATCTAGCTACAATTATAAAATCACAATGTGAACAGACATATAAAAGGTACTTTGTAGCAAGAGATAGCCGTCTGTGAAAGACGCATTCTCTAAACTGCACCCTCCTGATGTGTTGGACTGCAATATCCATCTCCTCCAGTGGGCATTTGCTCTTTTGGGAGAATGTAGTCCACCACATCCAGATATCATGGAATGATGTCTATAGTGTGTATTATGTATAATAAATGGTCAAATACACAACTGCTATGAACTAAGAATTTCCTTCAACCTCAGGTGCTTTGGACTTCAACTCCCACAATTCCTAACGACTGGTAGGCTGGCTGGGATCTCTAGGAGGTGAAGTCCAAAACACCTGGAGGGCTGTAGTTTGCCCATGCCTGAACTAAAACTTTGACAATAAAGATCCCATGCTTTTTGCCATGATGGATTACATATGCAGAAAGATCAATGTTTTCCTCCCTTTGATATGAAGCAAAATATAGTGGTTTACATTCAGGATGGAAACTATGCAATCCTCCAGATGTTGTTGGACTGCAACATCCAATATCCCTCACCACTTGCTATGCTTCCTGGGGCTGCTTGTAGTTGAAGTTCAACAAATTTACATGATTTGTATCCTTGATTTCCAGTAAATATTTATCCAGTACTTCATAAACATAACCAGAAAGAACTCTACAGAAGGAGGAGCATTGGACCACAGAATTCAAGTGTTCTAAAGTATATACAGTAGAGTCTCACTTATCCATCCTTCACTCATCCAACATTCTGTATTATCCAATGAAGTCTGCCTCCCGCCTGGTTCCAAAGCTGTTTCTCTAGGCAGCAGTGCACAGCGGGCTTCTCTACGTGCCGAGAACCCGCTGGGAGGAATGAGATGCAGCTGATGCAGACTTTTCCCATCAGGTACAGTGTCCGGCCTGCACCACCTCTGTATCGCCCCTCCTGGCAGGCACCCAGAGCACAAAGAGGACTGCTGCGCATTGCTGCCTAGAAAAACAAACAGTAAATTGCTGCCCAGTAAAACAAACAGCGCATTGCTGAAGTGATGTTTTGGTGCTAAATTCATAAATACAGTAATTGCTACATCATGTTACCATGTATTGAACTGCTATTTCTGTCGATTTGTTGTAAAACATATTTTGGTGTGTAATTTGTAAAATCATAACATAATTTGATGTTTAATAGGCTTTTTCTTAATCCCTCCTTATTATCCAACGTTTTTGCTTATCCAACATTCTGCCGGCCCATTTATGTTAGATAAGCAGGACTCTACTGTAGAACCAAATGATAATAGTAACTGTGTAAAATGTTTGTTCACAATATAAAAATTTAAATATCCACATTATTTGGCTAGTACAGTCATAAATATCCATAACTTGAGACGTGAAAAATATGTTAACTCCAGAAAATTAGTGGGCATGAAAGAAAGATACAAGGTTATCGATACTGGATCAGTGGATGATGCTAGTAACATGCAAAATGTCACCTCCTGGGTTTTAGCACTTGTGACTACTTGTCTGCTTCTAGATAAATTAGGAGACTTCAAAACCAAATACAACACATGGTGTTGTTTATTATGGTTACTCTCATTAAGTCAAAGATTTTCTCCAGGGATTTGTGTTTGTCAATGATCATCATTCATGAATCATGTTCATGTTTCAGCTTTAAGATATAAATGTAGATGTGACAATGTTTTCCTGCATTGAAATCTGATATATATTTCAAATTCAACTACAGTTTTAAAGGAAGGACCCTTAGAAATTGAATTTAACAGTATACCATTTATTTTGTTAAAAGCTACAGGTTTTCACCACTCTGGAGCTTCTCCATTGAAGTTCCCTTTTTGTGTTGGAACAGTAACATCAGCTCACGAACTTTATGTGTATCTACACTGTTGAATTAATGCAGTGCACACTATTTTAACTGACATGGTTCAATGCTATGGAATCATGAGAACTATAGTTTTGTAAAGTCTTTAGCCTTCTCTGGCAAATAATGTTATTCCCTCACCAAACTACCATCCCCATGATTCCACAGCACTGAGCTATGGCAGTGTAAATGATGTCAAACTGCACTAGATTGGTCAACAAAGCAAAAACCCTTCAGATTAATGTTGTCCTCAGGAAATGTGAGTAGCAGCAGTAAATGCATTATTCTTAATAAAAAAATTATCATCAGCATAAATGTGGATACCTGGATGCAAAAAACTGAGTGCAATAAATACATCAATACTGCAGTAACATAGCTGGAGCAAGGAGGGAGGGCATTTACAACATCCTGCAACAACTCTCAGCTTCTTTTACAGTCATAAGAAAACCAATTTCATGACTCTAAGGCCCTTTCCACATTGTCCCTATATCCCAGGATCTGATCCCAGATTATGTGGCTGTGGATCCCAGATTATGAGGCCGTTTAAAGAAGAGAAAACCTGGAATCAAATCCTGGGATATAGGGCAGTGTAGAAGGGCCCTTAGTATTTAATTATTTATTTATTTATTTATTTATTTATTTATTTATTTATTTGGTGCATTTATTGACCGCCACTCTCAGCCCTAGGGCAACTCGCGGCGGTGTACAACATATAAAAACACAGTTTACAAAAAGCAGAACAACAAAATCACAGAACAATAATAATACTATAAATTACACTAATGCTCCGCTCCGTCAAATCACAGAAACATATCCAATATCATAGTCCATATTCCGTTCCCAAGTGTCAATTACCAAATTGCCGTAGTATTCAATTGAAGGCCTTTTCGAATAGCCAGGTCTTTAGGCTCCTGCGGAAGGATAGAAGGGAGGGCGTCTGTCTAATATCAACAGGGAGGTCGTTCCACAGCCGGGGGGCCACCACCGAGAAGGCCCTCTCTCTCGTCCCCGCCAGGCGTGCCTGCGAAGCAGGCGGGATCGAGAGAAGGGCCTCCCCAGATGATCTCAAGGTCCTCGTGGGCTCATAGGCCAAGATGCGGTCCGAAAGGTATTTTGGGCCGGAACCGTTTAGGGCTTTGTAGGATAACACAAATTGGGCCCGGTAGCAGATCGGCAGCCAGTGGAGCTGGGACAACAAGGGCGCTGTATGCTCCCTGCGTCCTGCTCCCGTTAGTAACATGGTTGCCGCTCGCTGGACTAGCTGAAGCTTCCGGGCCGTCTTCAAGGGCAGCCCCACGTAGAGAGCGTTGCAGTAGTCAAGGCGGGATGTGACCAGAGCGTGTACCACCGTGGCCAAGTCAGACTTCCCAAGGTACGGGCGCAGCTGGCGCACGAGCCTAAGCTGTGCAAATGCTCCCCTGGTCACCCCTGAAACTTGGAGATCCAGGCTCAAAGATGAATCCAGAGTCACACCCAAGCTGCGAACCTGCGCCTTCAAGGGGAGTGCGACCCCGTCCAGCACAGGCTGTAACCCTATGCCCTGTTCGGCCTTGCGACTGACCAGGAGTACCTCTGTCTTGTCTGGATTTAATTTCAGATTTAATCATCCCCAACCCACCAGTATTCAAATTTGGGCGTAGCAGGTATTTGTGCCAAATTTGGTCCAGTGAATGAAAATACATCCTGCATATCAGATATTTACATTACGATTCATAACAGTAGCAAAATTGCAGTTAGGAAGTAGCAACGAAACAACAACAACAACAACTTCCTCTCCAGAGTTCTTATTCTTTTTTCACCACACCAGGACCGAACCTGCTGACATTCACCTCAATATTTCCAAAACCAGACTGATGAAAACAGCCAAAACAACCCATTCCTGCTCTCCCCGCCTTCCCTTCCCTATCTGTGTGCAGCCTCTAATCCCATCCCAAGGGCAATGCAATGGGATAGCTCCATAATCCACTTTCACCGAGATCGCCTTACATGAAAGGGGGAGCGGGTGTTGTGATGTGCCCATCTGTCAAGGCTGGGAATTATCCCCTCCGATCACATCAGGGTCACTTCTGCCCCTTTTCCCTGGCTTGGCGGCCTTCTGCCAGGCTCCCAAAAGTTGGAAGCAAAGAGGACCAGAGGCAAGTCCAGGAGATGGAGGTTTTGGGGCAAAGTGGTCAAGACTAGGTTTCCCAAGCCAACTCAAACAAACCCCGAAGGCCACCACGTTTGGAGAGTTTGGAGACAAAGCCAGGGAGAGCTATTTATTTATTTATTTCGAGGTTTTATATACCGACCCTCTCACCTTCAAAGAGGGATTCGGACCGGTTCA